TCATTATTTCTCAAAGATTTATTTTTTCTGGATTATGAGATGAAAACTTTCTTGTAGCAAATTTCAAGGGCTTTCAAATAAGCCTAAAATAAAATTTTTATTTTACCTGTAAGGGGTCGAAAATATTTTTTAAAGACGTCTACCCCCTGTTTTCGTTGATTTTCTGGTTTCAAGATCTCGATGATGGAAGTATATTAGAACTTCGTTTCTTTTGTATTTCCTATCTATATTGATAGATATCTTTAGAGAATTTTTTTGGGATTTTTTGATTGCTAAATAAAATTTTTTGAGGGGGTGCATATACTTTTGGAACAGTGAATAATTGAATAATTGGTGATAAAAAAATGAACTGATACGGGATATCTTTATTTTTTTGTTTAAACATTCACATTTATCTACAAGAATAGATAGACAAAATTTCTAATCAAAATAACATAGAAAAATGTATAAAAAATCAAAAAACTAGGGGTGCATATACTTTTGGAACGCAGTGTATGTACATATAAAATACACATATAACATAATTTAAATATGCCATTTTAATATTTTATAATTTTAGCCTATTTTTATAAGTAGAAAAATTCTGGATCCTATTGTTCAACGATCAAACTCTTGATCAAAAACTTGATCAAAGAAAAAATCACTATTACTAGTTTTTGAATATCTACATGGTTTCCAATTGTGATATTTGAGAATGTTATCTAAAATTTATTATTGTAAAATAAATATATTTTCTAAAATTTTTTTAATTATCTTTTAAAATTTTTAAAATTTATTTTGCAAGTAGGAAAGGAAAACATACTGTATTGAGAGCAAAAATGCTGAAAACGGAAAATGAGGGGGTGCACTTCTCTTAACGCAAAAAATGCAAGAAAAGGTAAGAAAAGAGCGGATTTTATTTGCGGACAGGTAGACAGCCAACTGGACATTTGCCATATTTAACTAATTATGAATTGGCACAAACATTAGAATTGGATAATTATACAATTGAAAATTATGTTGTTGGACTTAGATCAAGAGTAAGTTAACTGATTAGCGAGAAAACGTTGAAGAAGAATGTCGCCGGAACCGAAAATTTGATCTGTGGAGGCTTCACCCGTTCCCTGGGAATTTCCTCTTTCGAGGAGCTCAATTGATTTTTAAAATTTAATATTTACAGTAGGGTTGCACAAAACCGTTTAATTTTGAAAAAACTGTATACCGTTTATGCCGTTTATCTGAGACCCGTTTACCGTTTCGTTTATTTTTGAAGACCCCGTTTAAAAGTCCGTTTACCGTTTATTTTTAAAATTTTTTAAAAACAATTTATAATTCAAAAAAATCGATGAAAAATCATTAATTTTGCTCATCCCTCATTATAAAAATTATAATTCAACTATAAATTCATCATATCAATGGATTTAGAGGGAGGGCTGTTGAGATGCCTGGTGATTAAGAGTATATCATTGGTTTTGGAGATTTGGAGGACTTGAATTTATATGAAAAATTAAGGTGGAATATCGGTAGATTATGAGTAGATTTTTTCAGAAGCAGATTTCTTCCCTTTTTGCGTCGCAGGCGCAAATTTTTAAAATTTAATGTGTCAGAAGGCAAAAAGTCACGTTTTAAGCCACTAATTCTATGATAAAATTAAACGAAACGCCGTTTAGAAGGACCGTATACCGTCTATGCCGTTTATCTGAGACCCGTATACCGTTACGTTTAATTTTAACAAAAAACCCGTTTACCGTTTACCGTTTAGTTAAACGGTTTTGTGCAACCCTAATTTACAGACCAGCAATCTATCAATTTTTACTTCAAATTATGCTTCAGCATTAACAATAATTAATTATGTAATAATTGTTTTTTGTGGAATAAGTATTCAAATACATGTTTATCGTCATTGTAAAGGTGTACAAATGACTCAATTACGTAATATGAATAAACAAATGAGTATTGTTTTGGGAGCACAGGTATGCAAGTCAGAAAAACCTAAGAGTCTTGGGGCCTATTCCACAAAATGGGCAAATTCAAAAGCCGAATTTAAATGTTAACACAAATTAGTATCGACGTTGGAAGTAACGATAATTTAAGTCAATGAGATTTGTTAAATATAGACAATAGTATGACAGTGCTTTCAGCTTATATCCCTAATAAAGTTGCCACTAACTTGTACTGACAATTTTTGGTAATTTTTGAATTTAAATATTGCTTCGTTTATTTTTTTTAAATTTTCTTATTTATAGGCTACTCTACCTTTATTATCTTATCTAAGCAATTTATTTGCCAATTTAAGTTTTTTATTTAATTTACCTGGATTATATTCATCATCTATTATAATATTCATTAATTGTGGGTTGGGATCTGTGGTTGCTGTTTTAAATCCTATTGTGAGTTTATTTGTATATTTTTAAATTTTGAAAATAATAAATTTAAAAGGTAACAATTTTGAGTGTAAGAAATTACAGACAAATAATTTTTCGATGCAAAAATAATTCAAATATTAATCAAGTTGCTCCAATGCCGGAAACTTCAATGCCGGATAGAACTATACAATATATTAAATAATTAGATTTTATATAAAAATTCAAGGCATTTACTGCTTATAAAATTTTTTTTTTAAATTCTACATATTAAGCTTTTTAATTTCAAATTATTTTTCTGAATAAATATTAAAAATAATTTGGAAGATTATCATTATTTAAATTAGTTTACACCAACAACTCTTTTAAATATATGTATTTCTGAATTTTTTTTTTAAATTTTGTTTTATATAATAATTAGGGAACTAATTTGTATTGAAATAATATTAGAAAATATTGTTATAAACAGACAAAGTTTAGGGAATCTCGGAGTTTCTATACTCACATCAGAGTAAAAAATAGAAAAAATTGGAAATAATTGTTTAAAAATTCGGACAAGATACCTTTACTTGAATTGGAATTAGTGTTGTTGGGGACCGGGTATTAACCGGTACCGTCTGTTTTTGGTTAATTCAAAGAATAAATTAATTAAATATAAGTTTTGTTTTGGGGGAATTGAAAAATCATTCAGTTTCAAAAATTCTCGGTTAATAAAATTTCATAGAAACTTTTAATTTTTGGCAAGTACTATTAAAATTCGGTACTTTATTAATATCCCGCCCCCCACCCCTATTTGAGTCTCAGATTATTTTTCCTTTTTTTTGCTGTCAATCATTTATTCCCCTCCTTTTTTAATACATACCAATCATTTTCTTCCCTCGAATATTATAAGTAAAAGGCAAAGTAGAAACTTAAGATATTTGAGGAGTAAAGCCCAAAAAGGCGCGCAGCCATAACGGCGCAAAGCCACAACCTTCTGGGATATTTTAGGCCCTTGTCATTTTTGTTATCAATCTCTTTAGCTCGATGAAAGGAATCGTTTAATATTAATTTTTGTAAGGTTCGAAAACCATGAAGCAAGTTATGGCTTTGCGCCTTTATGGCCGCGCGCCCTTTTGGGTGTCTTATATTTGAGGGAAGAAAATGATTGACGTTAAAAAAGGAGGAAAAATAAATGATAGGCAGGTAAAAAGGAAAATTAATCTGAGACTCAAATAGGGGTGGGGGGCGGGATATTAATAAAGAACCAAAATTCTAGGTTTTACACCTATCACTAACAACACTAATTGAAATTTATCCTCTTCTATCAAAATGCTAATTGCACCTTTGGGTTTCTGACATGAATTTTAGGGAGGGGGGGGGGGGGGGAATACATAAGTAGAGGCATTTCAGAATAAATAAAAATAAAGAATTGATCAGGGAAGATAAAAGGACCTACAAACTCCATTCACGCGAATTTACATTAAAATACTATATTTTTCTCTAAAATAGTAGTATGTATATTATGTCAGAGACTCCCAAAAGTGCAAAAATGATGTTTTTTGATAGTGTGATTTATTTCAACATATGCATGTATTTCAATGCTGACAAATCTTGCCCTTTTATTCTGCTTTGCTTGCCCTTTTATTTTTATTTAACTTTTTATCTTCCCCGCTCTTTCAAAATTACTTTTTTTATTTTATTTAAGATAGCGACAAAAGTCGATTATTAAAAGGGCATCAATATTCTTAAACATTTTATTAGACACTAATTTTTAAAGCGATGGCTGCCTATTTACTGCCTATATTTTTATCAGCATTAAATGCGCCTTTAATAAAATTTAATTTTTTAAATAAAAATCTTTTTTGTTTCTATTTAAAATATTTTTTAAAAATTATGTCAAAAGTATGATTTCTATCTAGACCTTCATCCTAGAACCGAAACATAAGCTATTGGTTAAATTGCTGGATTCAAATACAAGACATATTCTGTGATACTTAGAGCTCAAAGTAGTTTTCCGGTTTTTCTGGGCTACGATATCACGTTTAAATCTAAGTTATATAATTAGTCCCCCAAATCCTCCCAAGTCCTATTGTCCTTCCAAATCCCTTAACCACACAAATGCTCTTAACCCTCTACCTATCCAAATCCTCTCTTTTGAAATATATCCCTTGATATTTCCCTAAATCCCTCCAAATCCCATTAATCCCGTCAAACAATTTTAATCCACCAATAAAATTTTGTTGATCAAAATGAAGGCATTAAGTGTGTAAATACTGAGAGATGATCTCTAGATCTTCAAGTTTTCATTTAAAATAAGGAAATTTCAGCAAAAAAGTTTAAATTTAAGCTTTCTACAAATTTTGAAAAAACCGGGTCCGGGCCCGGAAATGTGGAAATTCGAGATTTAGTGATAATTATACACTTTGTCTCAAAAATATACTTCCACCTATATTTTGCGGCTTAGGTCCATAAGTTGTTAACGGATTTGAATGAAAATTTAATACATAATGCACAAAGACATTTTGAAACTATATTTAAAATTTGAAAAAATTCTAATCATGCTATTGCAGCTATTTCTTTGTAAAATGGGTGATGGAGGCAATTTCTTCCCTTATTAATTCTAATAATTTATTTAGAAATTTTTAAAATCAATTTAACACAGAAAAATACCCAAAAATGTCAATTTCAATTAAATTACTAATTCCAATCTTTTTATTTTCAATTCTTTTACCTTCAATTTTAAATGTAAAATTTCCTAACAAAGAATATCTTGAGTTTGTTGAGGAATTTACTAATATAAAAAAAGAAGAATTTTCTAAATTTTTAAATAATTCTGTTTTTCTGAGAGATTTGTTAACACATATTGACCAATATATAGGGGATTCTAAATATTTAAAAACAAATCCAAAGCACTCTCAACTAAGACAAGCTAGAATGGAATTTTGGACAAATTTTAGGGAGCATTATAATTTAATGCAATACCGTGACCTTATTGGACGTGCATTAATTGTAAAAGGAGCTAAAACTGAGGAAATCGAATATAAACTTAATAGAATGAAAGATAAAGAGGCACTCGATATATTACGAGATTACTATGAATATTGTCAACAAAAAATAAAAGATATTGAAAAAGAGATGAACGAGAAGGCTAATGTAGGTTTTGGGGGTTTATACCCTTTCTCAAAAAATAGATATATAAATTCAAACCAAAATTTAGGTTTTCTAATCTCCGGTATCGGATATCCTTTTCTGTATATGTATATCCTTTTTCGGCGCCGTAAGCGAAAATTTTTTAAATTTATAGTGGCCGAGAAACTAGAAATCCTCGACGCTAAAAAATGAAGTTTTTTCAAAAATTCGAAAACTAAAATCGAAAATATCACCCAATTTTGGCATCGTAAATCGAAAATCTAAAGTGAAACCTCGAAAATCGAAATTTTGATACAGCTCTACTCGCTAACAATTCAAGTTAAAAATCGTGATACATAAGTTAGGTATTTTAATTTATTTTAAGAAGCAATTGCAACATTTGTTGATGTCAGAATATGTCATCACCTACTCTTCTTTGCCTGAAGATGATAAAATCTGCCCGATTTGTCACGAAGAATTTGAAGAATATATAAATAATGAGAAAGTTATTAATAAGCTTAAATGTGGACATATTTTCCACCAGGATTGCATAATTAATTGGGCTTTATCAGACAATGAGAACAGATATAAATGTCCGTTGTGTCGTGAAGAAATTGAATTTAATGAGGCACACAAAGAATTTAAGGAGAGAATGAAGAAAGCTGGGTTTACTTTTGAAGATGATGTTCATAATTAAGAATTTTATTTTGATACAAATATACAAGAAGGGTGGAGGGGAGTCCGAGCATCGGTTTGAATTAGTTGCATGTTTAATTATACTTCGATGTTGGCGTCTGGATTAGGGTTAGGGTTTTCGAGTCGGGCCGACGTTCGAGTTATTTTTTGGGCCTCGTTTTTATCGGGCCGGCCCTACCGAGCTTTTTCGTGCCAAAATTCAATGCCCGACTCGATCTTCCGGACCGGGCCGGATGAGAGAGCCCCCATCCCTAGGCAGGATATCCGAAATTATTGGGTTGGATATTGAATCCAGATATCCAAGGTTTCCGAAAATCCGTCAAAAATAGACTGGACACATCCATATCTAAATTGTAGCTTTATTCGAATATATTCGCCTAAAGAATTTGGAATTTCGGTTTTAGCTATATTTCTATTCAAAAAATTTAATCGAGGATCAAAATTAAAATTATTTTTCACATATTTAAAAATTCCCTAGTATTTTTTTAATTAAAATTGAGACAATATTTCTATTGAATCTTTAATTTGTAGTCATTTAAAATGTTATTTAAAAAATTTATTTAAATTATTTTAACAAACAACATTTCGTGTTAAATAATATTTTTCATTAAAATTATTGTGTAAGTAAAAATATTTTAAAATTATTAAACTTTAAAGTAATTTGTATTTTTCTTTTAAATTATTTAGCACGCAAAAATAAAATAAAACTAACAGTTAAATAAACATAAATTTTTTAATTAATTATTAAAACATGTTTTAAAAACAGAATAAGTTTATTAAAAAATTCTTAATAATTAAAAAGAGCTTACTAACAATAAGTAGTTTCGGACATTTTTAAAAAACATTCATTCCTCTTAAGTAGAAAAAATGTTAATAGGAGAAATATATTCAACAATAATTTATTGTTTTGCTACATTTGGATTGTTTTCTAATTTGTTTTTAATTTGGCTAATTTTACGTTATACAATGAAAGAAATGCAAGTTTATAGCAAAATACTTTTACAAACTTGTTTTGTTGATATTGTTGGGATTTGTATGTTTGTTGTTTCTCAACCGGTAAATAAATATTGGGGGGGGGGAGGTTGGGGGGGGGACCATAATGTTGTTTCATCCTATCCCCGGCATCGGGAATTAATGAAGAGTGGGGAATTATTTGACTGTTGGGAAATATTCAGTTAAATATTGACCAAGAAAAAGATAAATAATAATTATTGGAACTTCAAAAAATTCTAGATTGATTACATTCAACCATGTCCACTCAAAACACCTTACTCTCAAAATATCCTCACTGCCATAAAATATCTATAATGTCTTAACGGCTAAAATATCTTAAAATATCTTAACGCCTAAAAAATCTTAAAATACAGGGTGTGGAAAATTTAGGCCACTTTTTCTTTTTGTCATAAATTTCTTCAAAATTAATGAAAATTGTTAATTCTTTTTTTTTGTTTTATTCCCAACACATTAGAAAACTTACTGATACGAAATATTAAAAATTTGGTACACCGTTTACAAAGATAATTGTGTTCGAACGTCTGGAAAATTTAAAAACATTTTTTACGCCAAAGTTTAATTGATCATAACTTCGTTCAAAATTGTTCAATACAAACATTTTGGTACGGAGCAGTTCAACTGAGTCCCGGCCCTATAACTCAAGTACGGGTTGATAATTTTTAATGTTTTTGGTATCATTGGATAGAGAATTAAAAGCTCTATAATATTTCAAAAAATCAGAATTTTTGACCGATTGATAAAAAAGTTATGATTTAAAAACTAACTTTTTCAAAAAAATCTGATTTTTCGGCACTTTATCGATCGTAACTAAGGCTGTGATAGTTAGGCAAGTAAAATCAGTAAAATAGGCGCCTAAAATAGGCACAAAAAACCGAAAAAGGCACAAAAATAGGCATGTAAAAAAGGATATTAGACCATAAAATGTAGATAAAAACAGAAAAAATAACCAATTAATCGTCATTTTTTAAATTATAAACTATTTTTTAAACAATTTTACCATTTATTCGTCATTTTGAATCATTTTTTGAAAAAATGGAGTAAATTTTTTTAAAATCCCGATAATTGACAAAATGGAAATCTCGCCCAACACACATATTAAAAGTCACACACAAAACGCCGCACCCCAAAACGTCCCAAAACCAGATCGTCCCAGTTTAAAATGTCCAACAGAGTAAAAATAAACAATTTAACGAACTAAAAATTAATAATGGGACTTGGCACTGATTTTTTCTAATTTGGGACTGATTTTTTTAGATTTTGCACTGATTTTTAGGCAAAATTTCGAAAAAATCGCTAAAAAAGGCAAAAATAGTACCAAAAATTTCAAAATAGGCAGAAAGGCACAAAAAGTCAAAAATAGGCAGAAATAGGCATATTAAAAGTCATGCTAGGCTTATCGGACCGAGCTAAAAATACGTTTTTTGAACGTATTACATCATCCCAAGCTTGCAGAAAAAATAGGCATTTGCCTATAAATCACAGCCTTAATCATAACTTTTTTACCAGTCGGTCAAGAATTTTGATTTTTTGGTATATTGTAGCCTATTTAATGCCCTATCTAATGGTACCAAGAGTAACAAAAAGTGACCGTCCCTTCATAAGTTATAGGGTCCGGGACTCAATCGAGTCGGGACTCAATTGAGGTGTACCGATTTTGGCACTAAACGACTCATCTCTCCCGGTCCTTAGTCCTATATAATTACAGGGTGACAAGAAAGTTCGGAGTGAAGAATTTTTTAACCATAACTTTCTGTACACCTAATATTTTTAACTAATTTTAACTCATTTTATAGGCCATTCAATCTTAACACACGCATTCGATACTGTATCGATGCAGAAAGTTCGAATTTTTTAAACTTCAAATAAAATTCATTCTCTATTTAGTTCTCTATTTTATCGGATTTATTTTATATCCGTAGAATATTTTTGAAGTTATGTACTTCACTCCAGGGCTTCGATTTCTGCGGATTTTTCCTCATTTTGTGGTTTTTTGATAGGGCGATGAGGATTATTTTTTAAAATGCGGATTTGCGGATTTTTGTGGCCTTTTGAAGATTATGAGGATTTTTTGTATTTTCCTGTAGTTTTTAGGATAAAATGTCATTTTTTGTTTTCAGGGCCTTCCAAAATCCGCAAAATTTTCGCCTGCGGCGCAAAAAAGGACGATTTTTAGCTTTAGGATATCCAAAATTCAAAAAATTTTCGCCTGCGGCGCTGAAAATGGAAGAAAGCTGGATTTTTTGTCTTCAAAAATTTCCAAAATTTTCGCCTGCGGCGCTGAAAAAGGACGGCTTTGGCTTCTTGACCTTCATAAATCCGCAAAATTTTCGCCTGCGGCGCAAAAAAGATTTTTCCAGTAAACAATTCACTATAACAAGGGACGGTGAAAGCATTGCCTCAAGTCAACTTTAATTTCTCATTTAATTGTCCGGATTTTAATAAGATAGTCATTATTAGTGAAAAAACTGCTCAATTCAATTGTTAGAGTCAAAAAATATAACGCATAAAGTGATTTTAATTCAATTTTTGAGTTTGATAATTTTTTGCGGATTTTTCATATAAAATGCAAATTTTTTCGATCGAAATTGCGGATTTTTAAAAATTCGAGATCGAAGCCCTGCTTCACTCCGAACTTTCTTGTCACCCTGTACTTGTCAATATGTAATAATTAAAAATTTATTTGTACTATGCAAAAAATTTAAAAATAAAAAAAAGCTTTATTATTTAATAATATATGAGTAGTTCTTCCGGCACTTAAGCCTCTATTGCCGGAGCAACTTGATGAATATTTGAATTATTTTTGCATCGAAATATTATTTGTCTGTAACTTCTAACACTCAAAATTGTTACCTTTTAAATTTGTTTTTTTAAAGTTTAAGAAAAAATAAATAAACTCACGATAGGATTTAATACGGCAATTAAAGATCCAAAACTTGAAGTGAGGAATATTACAATAGACGAAGAATATAACCCAGGCAAATTAAATAATAAAATGGAATTGGCGAATAAATTGGAGAGATAAGGTAGTAAAGGCAGAATAGCCTAAAATTGTTAAATTAAACTTATTAAAATCTTATAATGTATGAGAAATGAAAAGTTTTAGGGTTTTGAAATTTTCTATTAATTGTACTTCGTACATAAAGGCGGGCTTCTAAACATTGGTGATGAAAATGTTTTTTTTTAATTTTCAATTCCAAATGGTTATTAAAACAAATCTAACTTTACCTGTGCCCCCAAAACAATACTTAATTGTTTATTCATATTACGTAATTGAGTCATTTGTACACCTTTACAATGACGATAAACATGTATTTGAATACTTATTCCACAAAAAATAATTATTATATAATTAATTATTGTTAATGCTGAAGCATAATTTGCAGTAAAAATTGATAAGTTGTTGGTCTGTAAATATTACATAATTATTTTTAAAATCGTAATTGAAATGAAGTACAAGTAAAAATAAATTTCATGTATAAATTCATGAAAGTTTGAGGTCTGATCGAAAGCATAGGCCCAAAGAAAATTTCCAAAAAACTGGAAAATAAGTTATATATAACGCAAAAGGCTTATTCAGACAGTAGCTTAGCGTATTATTTATTAATGATCCTATTTTTGTAAAAATAGGATCGTTCCAGTTTGTGTCAAGTTTTCGGTTCTGGGCAAATCCTATCTAACTCCCTTCATTTCTTCTCTAAATTTTTCAGTTAACAAGTTAACCTACTCCAGCTCTAAGTCCAACAACATAATTTTCAATTGTATAATTATCCAATCCCAATGTTTTTGCCAATTCATAATTAGTTAAATATTCATTTTCTGGTGTTGGATGGTTTGATATATAAGAAAAGGTAAATAATATAAATATTGGAATTATCATTCCAACAATTAATATTAATTGGTGTTTAAATTTAATATTTTTACCGCTACAAAACCAAATAAAATTTATTATTAGATATCGTGGATTTTACCGTACAACAGCAAAATAACGATAAATAAATAATGTAGAGACATTCATTGAGGTAACTCTTCCCATAAAATGATTGAAACATAAAAGTACACCTTGCCAAGGATTTGGTAAGTAATGTACAGGTCCGTAATTCCAATTCGTTCCAACACCATTGTCAGAAACATAAACCTATTTTGGTGAGAAAATTAATTTTTCTTCAAAAGTTATAGGCGATCACGCCAAAACATTCCCGCGCCCAAACTTCAAATATTTACCGGTTGAGAAACAACAAACATACAAATCCCAACAATATCAACAAAACAAGTTTGTAAAAGTATTTTGCTATAAACTTGCATTTCTTTCATTGTATAACGTAAAATTAGCCAAATTAAAAACAAATTAGAAAACAATCCAAATGTAGCAAAACAATAAATTATTGTTGAATATATTTCTCCTATTAACATTTTTTTCTTCTTAAAAGAAAAATGTTTTTCTTTAAATTTATTTTAATTATATTTTTTTGTTCCTAAACATTTTATTTTTTAAGATTTTAATAAAACAGCTTAAGCATGAATATTTTTCTGTCAATTTTTTTGATAAACATATAAGTTGCGGCACTTTTTCTTTTTAGCTTCTTTCAAACAATGAAAACTGACAATTCTTTTTTTTATCTAATTACCAATTCCCTAACAAAATTGTTGGTACCAAACAAGAAATCTGGTTCATAGATATTATATTCTTATGTTTATGTTTGTCTGTGTGTTTTAATTCTCGAGAAAAATGTTTTAATTAAATGTTTATTTGTGTTTGTAAAACGTTTATTAAATCCCAGCATCACCTACATATAAATATTAAGACTTAGCGCCAAACAATGACTTAGAAATATATAAAATATTTTTAAAAATTAGAATAATCAAATTAAAAAGAAAAAGAAATTTCTTATGAGCAGCTAAAAAAATTAAAAAAAATTTTTTAAATATTTTTTAAAGTAAATATTTAAGTGACATAATATTTAATTATTATTTACAATAAACTTTAAACATTTTTCGAGTTTAACTACCAGGTGCAACATTTGTTTAATAAAAAATATTTGTTTAATAATGCCCAGATGCCCATTAATTATTTAAATATAAAATACTTTCATTTTTCAAATTTTTTATTTGCACTTTATTGTAAATTATAGTGATGGTCGGGAGTTAAAAAAGCCGAGAGTCGAGAACGAGAGCTCGAAAAATACTGAAAACACGAGAAACTGAGACTGAGAGTCTCGACTATCATTAGTAAATTAGTACTTCATTTATAGGATTATAAAGGATTGTCTCCTGCTAAATTTTGTATGTACTAAAGAGTAAAAGAAAATAAATAAAAATACCTACATAAATTATTTACGTAAAAATACGATGCCATGAAAGAATTCTTTAAGTTTTTTAAATTTCGTATTTTTTGTATTTTTTGGGTTTCAAAAAATTTTTTCTTAGTTTTTGTAAGTTTAATTGTCTTTGCCTTTGTATTTTTATATTTTATTCCTTTTTCTGTTCTGTTCAAAAATTCAGGTAACCAATTAATCTGTAGTAAAAAATCCAAATCCACCGATACCCCCTCCCCAGCTTATTTAAATAAATTAATTATTTAAAATTTAATTAAAAGAATACTATCTCAGAACAAAAAATAACCAACAAACAACAAATAATTCACTATAATTTTTTATTAAATTTACTAAAAACAATCAACCATGTTTAAATATTGGGAGAAAATATTTCATAAAAATTAAAGAAATACAAGTAGGCAGTGGAGAAAGAGAGAGGGGTAAAAAAGAATGAGCAACTAAACATTTTTTAGTTTGGCCAGTGGTATTGGAAGGAAAATTATAATTAAAAATTAGTAACAACTACATACTATAAATAAATATTTTTTAATTTTTTCTAATAATTTTTAATAAAATTTATTTATTTCACTAATTAATTGCATTAAATTGTTTTTGATGTTTAATGTTTCCCTCGCCACCGCAAACTTTTCTCGCTACTTTTAAATTCTTTCTTTTCTTCTTCTTAATATCCTGGCGCTGTTCGGGCAGGTGGACAATGATCGCAAGCACCATTTGGACCCTTTAAATATTTTTGAAATTTCTTTATTGAATACAATTCCGTACCTTCTGTCCTCCTTGTCCTTTCTGTCCATTTCCTCCTGGCTTTCCAGGTTGGCCAGGATATCCACCATCTCCAGGGGCTCCTTGTGGACCAGCAAAACCGGGCTTGCCTGGGGCTCCAGGCTCTCCAGGTGCTCCCTAAAATGTGAATTAGAAGATACAACAGATCTTTTAAAATCCAACCGGCTCTCCATCGGGTCCTGGTTCTCCGGGGGGTCCTTGAACTGGAGGTCCTTCCTTGACAACTCCGGGTTCTCCAGGTGGTCCTTGCTCTCCTGAATTGCAAAAATAATTTAAATGCAAAGCTAGACAAGTAAATTAAAATATTACCGTCTGAGCCTGGTTCTCCGTCAGGTCCAGGTGGTCCTTCTGGTCCAGGTGGTCCTCTACAAATTAAAGATTTATAATTATTGAAAGATATTTCCCGCTACCGTGGTCCGCCATCACCATCAATTCCTGGCTCTCCTTCTTTCCCATCAGATCCGGGTGGTCCTCTTGGTCCTGGCTGTCCATGAATTGGAGCTTCACAAGTCTGGCATGGCTCGGCAAGAAGTACAGTGGGTGGTGGTCCAGCTAAATTTTATTTTGATTTTTCGATTTTGATGGAAAATTATTTACCGTCAATTCCTGGCTCTCCATTTGCTCCAGGTCGTCCATCTGATCCGTCCTTTCCAGGTTCACCGCGAGGTCCAGGTGGTCCACGTGGAGAAACGCCGCAACCACAGCATTCACCTCCGCTTGTAGATGCAGCTCGGGTGCTACGTGGTCCTCTGCTTGGAGCAGAAAGAACTTGTGTCCTTGTCACCTAGAGAATTTTTTGGAAGGTTTTAAGCTAACATTTAAATTGCTTTTTACTTCTTGCCAAATATTTCCACTTCTCGATTTACAAAAATCAAGTTCTCCTTGTAATGAAGACCCCATTTGTTGGAAATATAAAGAAGAAAGTGGAATTGACATTACACAAATTAAGGTAGCTACAGTTGAAAGACAAACACCAAAAATAGCGAGTGCCCGTAAAGATTCGGCCTCCCGTCTTAATTGTTGCTTGTCGTAATCGTATGCGGCAGACGAATCCATTTTTCTGAAATTTTTTAAAAATTTCAAAATTTTTCGAAAAAAGATCGAAATGGTAAGAAAATTTTGTCTGAGAATATTTCTCTCAAAAGTAATTTTCGTAATTATTAAATAAATTAAATTAGAAAACGCTTCATTTAAAACAACTGTGGCTGAATATTGCCTCTGAGCTCAGCCTTTTAAAGGCAATTTAAAATGCGTCATCATTATAAGGGGAGGGGGAACATAAAACTATTTTGGAATTTCTTCTCTATTAAAGCTATTTTTACTGTTTCTCAAATTAATAAAAAAAAATTAAAGAATAAAAAAATTAAAAACAGGCGGGGACTGTCAAGAAAATATTTGGGAGAAAAAAGAATATATTAACGGTAAAAATATTATTGCCGGATGGTTGGAATGTGGGACGGCAAAAAAGGATGGTTAAGAAGAATAACTTTAGAAAGGGAGAGAAAAATGGAAACAAGAACCGGTTTGAAAAGAACGAAGCGGTCTCTTGTCCTTTTCATTTATATCTGTTAAAACCCCCCAAAAACCCCCAAAAATTTTCCATCAAAAAAAAACTTTTCTTTCTTTTATTTGCTTATTTGGCCGAATGAGCAATTAATTTGCAGAAAAGTAGCCTTCAAAAAAATTGACAAGGAACGTTTATATAAATTATATTTTTCTTTATATTTAACAACAAAAATGAACGGACGACAAAATGAACGGTTAAGTGGGACGACAAGAGAAGCAACAAAAACCCTAAAAATTATTTAGCAATTTATTCATTTTTGGGGGACTGGGCTGGTAGGACGCGGGTTGTCAAGGTGTGAGCTTATAAATTGTAAATTGATTAGAGATATGTATAACGTGTGAGAACTTTATATCCATTTTGCTTCATCACATGATCATAAACTCAAGAAAAAAGGGGTGAGGGTCGAAATTAAAATTGCCTTTTTTGCACCCTCGTATGCTTACCTACGTGCTCCACAATTATCAGAAACCGAAAATGTCTATTTGCTAAAAGATTGCCTGATCTTTCCAGATTTATCGACTATAACTTGAAAAATATTTTATGGAAGATTCTGAAATTCCGAAGGAGATAGTCATTTTAAGTTTAATGTATTTGAAAAAATTTTCAAGAATTTAGGGGTTTTCAGCTACTTGTCAGTTTTGAGACTTGTGCCCAAACCTTGAGGCGCCTATACGACACCAACACAACTTTTATTTTCCTCTTCGCGCAGTAGAGTAAAATTTATTCATAAATATTTAAAAATATGTATGTAAACACACAACACATCGAAAAAAATAAAATCAGCCCTTTATATAAATAAAAATTTGTAACTTTATTTAATTTACAGGAAATTAAAATACTAGAAAATATAAGGAATATGTAATCTAAGAAAGATTTTACAATCCTTGAAGTGTTTTTAATTTACTTTTGTATAAGAGTAGGTCGAGGATTTTTGAAAAAACCGAGACCGAGGATCACCGAGGCTGGAAAAGCCGAGATCGAGGTCGAGGGGGCCGAGATCGAGGTCCTATTGTATGATTATTTACATATTTTCTTAAATTTAAAAAAAATTTAAAAGGTAACAATTTTGAGTGTAAGAAGTTACAGACAAATAATTTTTCGATGCAAAAATAGTCCAAATATTCATCAAGTTGCTCCGGTAATTGAAACTTGAATGCCAGAAAGAACTACTCATTTATTGAATAATAAGGCTTTTCTTTTTTTATTTATGTATAAATATATGTATTTTTAGGTTGAGTTTTGTGTTGGAGATTTATATTATACTATTAATCATCATAAATTAATTTTTGACATAAACATTAAAAAGCATTTTTGGATAGGAATATTATAATATTAAAGTTAAAAATATTAATATAATAATAATATAAGCCAAATACTTATTTAATTTTACTTAAAGTAAATTTGAAGAATTATAAGTATAAAGAGGGTTAGTTAAAATATGGAAATGCTTGCCTATATGTTGTTATGCCTTGGAGTGAGAATTCTATAGAATTATGTATTTACGTTGGACCGAGCTTTTTAGGACCCGGTTTTTAATACATAATAGTATAGGTAGTATGTCACCGATAAACTTCAGGATTAGGAAAATTAAATTTCAGGAAAATTTAAAATTTTTGAAAAGTTGGGAAATTTCAGATAATATACTTCACTCTAACAGTCTCTCATACACTATTTAGCTTATTTTTAGTCTATTTTTCTTATCCAACAATATTTAATTTTTGCCAGAATCAAAATTACAGCTCTAAAAATCCTTCAAATAATCAAAAAAATTTATTTTTACGAAAATATTTACATTTAAATAAATTAAAAATATACAATTTTAGAAAAATATATTTAAATAACCAATAAGAATAGCTTTTTTTTCTTAATTTTATACAAGTTTGGACGAAAATTTCTTTTAAAAAATAATATCTTCACGAGGAATACAGAACCGGAAAGGCTGTGACTTGTTTAGTCAATAAAATTTTTATAAACAGCCTTTACAATAACATTGTTTTTTAGCAATAATCGAAGGTTTCCCATATGTACAATGATCAATTTCCCCACATTCTTCCTTTTTCTTTCCTTCTAAAAATTTATTTTCAATACATTTAGAATTTATTTATAATCTACCGCATTTTGGAGTGCATTCTTTATAAAGAGACCTTCCGTGTTCATCTTGTGAATAAGCATCCTTTCCAACTTTAACAAAATCAGCTTCTTTTTTCATCTGCTTTGTTATTTGGCCAGCGGTATACTCTTCAAAATTATAATTTAATATAAATATTTTTCCTTTACAGACTTGCCTAACCCATATTGTTATAAATAAAACATTTAATTATCGAACAGTCTTCCCTACCAAGCGTTCAATTAAATATCCTAACTTAAATTTAGAATACCGAGATTGTGGACTAAACTTACAAAACATTTTAAACTGATTTAGAAAACTATGCCGATAAGATTTAAATTTAGGAACTATGAGAATATTTTATTCAGTAAATTTAATAAGCATACCTGCACCGCAGTCAGCATTAACAAAGACAAACAAAACTTGAATTGAAACGACGAAAAGGAAAACTTTCATTTTTGTTTAATTTTGTTCTAAAGATAAAAACAATGTTATAAAATATGTAGAATCAGATGATAGTTAAAAAATAAATTTCAAAATAGTAGTCTTAAAGATTCCATCATTTAAAGAGTCCTATAGATCCAACATCACAACAATAAAAGTTATACTGATCTCCAAATTACTCCGAAAATTTTTTGTCGACTTGGGATGAAGGTTAATACGATTGGACCTTGTTATAGGATACACCAAGAGGCTTGTAATTTTTATCTAATAATGAGGTGTATCTTAAATAAAAGGTATCGCTTAGAGGCATTCCCTTTCTTCTCCTCCTCTAGCGGTCAATCAAATTGAGGTATTTCTATATATTATTGGGAGTTTCTTATAGACTGTATTTACTTAATTTTTAATTTAAGACTGAGTGACTTCTCCTTTTCTTAATTATATTTATATTCACTCTAAAAAACTCCTCCCTTCAAATTAATAAGAATCTTAAATAGTCAGATGTCAGCTTTTTATAATCGAGGCAAAGCCTCGTAGAATATAGCGAGACGATAAAAAATTCTTAACAGTGTCAGTGAGTTTCTAGTAGTTTGGATTCGCAACAATAGATTAGATTTGCGAATACTTTTCTGTTATAGAATTTAGAATGTTGAGTCTTTTTTTTAAAAGTACATATATCATTATAGATCTTCAGATATCGCAAACAAATTTTAAAAATCGAAATACGGAAGAATTAAATGAAATTTAAGGTGGAGGGTTAAGTAGATCCTGTTACATTTATTATAGAAAAGTTTAAAACAAATTTTTAAATTTGGCAAACTATGAGCCGCTGAAGAAAGCTAACAGATTAAAAATCTTTTATCTTTATAAAACTTTTGGTATCTAAAGGTTTTTTTTACTTTCATTATTTTCCAATCAAGTTTTTACAAAGGAATTTTTAAGCCCGTAATCTCGACTTACCTTTGAATTTTTTAAATTTGTTTATCAACCAGGCCTCGATAAAACAATTGCCCTTTAGACATGCGATTAGGGAATCAAAAATCATTTGACAGTCTAACAAAGAAATTAATAAACAAAGGAAATAATCGACTAAATAGCTAGACTAAGACAATAAAAAATGCTGTAAATTAAAAATTATTATGAGGCACGACTAATAGGCGCGAGACGTTTTGAGGCGCGAGACGTTTTAATGGGATTTCTTGGTATTGCAAAGGTGGGGTATTTCCAAAACATTTTTTATGTTCGGGACCTACGCTCTCTGGGTCCGGGATCGTTTCTACCCTATCTCTCGAAATTTCTGACAGTTATAGCAGTAAGAGCGAGGCAAAAGTTTAATCCCGGGCAGGATCGATCCTGCGACCTCCTGGCAGTTATTGCTAGGCGCTTTCGCTCACCACGTACAGGTGCTCTACCAACTGAGCTACCGGGAAGCTGCTTTCACCTTCTCTTTTAATAGATCTTAAACCCCCGCCTAGTGAGCGTTTTAAATGCTAACCAGCTGGATCTTTCTCTCTCTCTCTCTTCCTTACATAGCCAATTTTTAAAAATTAAAAAAAAACGATTTTAACTTTCAGATCCCAGACCCAAAGGGCGTAGGTCCTGAACATAAAGAAATGTTTTGGAAATCTCTCGCGCCTTAAAACGTTTCGCGCCTATTAGTCGTCCCCATAATAATTTTTAATTTACAGCATTTTTTATTGTCTTAGTCCAGCTATTTAGTCGATTATTTCCTTTGTTTAATTAATTTCTTTGTTAGACTGTCAAATGATTTTTGATTCCCTAATCGCGTCTGTCTAAAGGGCAATTGTTTTATCGAGGCCTGTTTGAAAAAAATTAAAAAAAAATTCAAAAGTTGAAATTACGGGCTAGAAAAACTAAAAATTCCTTTGTAGAAAGAGCTTACATATACAGATAGCTTTTGATTGGAAAATAATGAGAGTAAAAAAATTTTAAGTAATTAACAGCAAAATACTCAGGCAAATAGAGCTACAAATTCAATAAACAATTTTAAATTATTCGGAAAGTAACATTTGTTCGGCAAGTTTATTCATAAAAATTATTTTAATATCAAACAAAGCGCAAAACATACATGTTTATCTGTTTTTCTTTGAATCCTTTGTTTTAAATTTTCCGAAGATTGTACATATTTTTGTATCTTAGTATCGAAATTTTAAAAATATAGCTCAATAGATTTTGTATTGTAAGATGCTGCCTGTTCGCAAAGAGACTTGTTTTTATAGACGGGTAGATAACTGACACCTAGGCGAAACTTAAATTCGTGAAACCTTTCTTAAATTTCAATAACATCCTTTACTACCTCCTCCAGAAATTTCAGAATTTTTTATCAAATGTTTCTGAAGTTATAGTCGATAGACCGAAAATCTCGGTTACCATATATATCTAATCAATCTTGGCCTAAAATTTTGAGTTTCCTATTTAAATTTGAAAACAACAACTTTTTTGGAAATTTTATACAAAAGATTGAAAAGAAAAATAGGTAAAGACAAAGTTAATGGAGAAAGAATAAGATAGAAAGTTTAAACTTTTTTGGGGTTTTTTAGGATTTTTCTGATTTTTATGGATTTTAATTTTTGTATGTTTTTTTTTGTTTTTTTATTTTTTCCAATAGCCATTTATGAATAGAGTCCGGAATTTTAGAAAAGAAACAACATAAATTAGTTGTCGA